TCCTTTAACCTGTGGTGCCTAACCGCCCGCCTTTTTAGAACCCCTACATAGACTAGTGCAAGGATTAAATAAGTAAATATATGTAAAGCACTTTCGCAATACCTAGAACATCATAATTTCTGAAAATAAGAATAATGATGGGCTGGAGAGATGGCACGGTGGATAAGAACATGTGCTGAGAACTGAGTTCAGTACCCAGCACCCATGCATAGTGGCTCACATCCACCTGTAACTCCAGCTCCAGGGCATCTAATGCCCCCTGTTGGCCACCACGGGCACTGTACTCACATCCATAAGTACACACACACACACAATATATATATATATATTATATATTATTATATATATATATTATTATATATAATAATTATATATATATATATAATTTTTTAATTACAGAAAGAATAGTGATTGTATCCGTGAGGCCTCTATTTCTGTGACTAAGCACTGCAAGCAGAAGCAACTCACAAAGAGTTTGGCTTACAGTTCCAGAGCGATGGAAGTCCGTCGGGGTGGGGAGACTTGACAACATGGGGCAGGAGCAGGAAGCTAAGTGTTCATTTCTTCAGTCTAAAGAGTGAGCAAGAAGTAGGGTGAGGCTGTGAACTCAAAGTCTATCCCCAGTGACATAAATACTTCCAGCAAGGCTGTACCACCTAAGCCTCCCAAAATGTGCTACAGATGGGGAGCCATCTGTCCAATACCGGAGCTCATGGAGGGTGTTTCTCATTCAAACCAACACAGCGGTGGTCTGAGTGGCAATGGGAAATGACCACTGGGAACCATGCAGAGTAGTGACTTCCTGCCAGTCATTCCGGTGCCTCCTGGGTCCCTCCAGCCTCTCCAAAGCATGCCCTAGTTCTCCCAGTCTCTTACGGAGATAACAATCTGACCCCTCCGTAACAGTATCTCATTGCTTGCAAGCATGGCAAAGGCAAGGCATCGGTTGTGACATATGAGGTCCAAAGGTTTTGAATAGATGGCCTTCGTCGTCTCATAAGTAGGTGGTGGGGCTAAGGGAAGAACCAAGCTTTGCTTTTTCATGTCCGGGAGTGGCTTCACTGTTGCCTGGTGTATCCCAGGCTAGCAGGGATAATAGGTGACTATTTCATAAGTCCTCATGGAGTCTACAAGCAGAGCCATAGTCTCCATCAACCCAGAAACTAAAAATGCTGTCTGGTAGCATCTGAGGCCTATAGCAGAGATGTCCCTCCTCTACTATAACCAACCTTTCTAATATTTTCACCAAGTGTTTGAAAAATGTCTTGGATCACTTTTTTATGACCTTTGTTATAAAACTCTGCAAACCCATCACCGCGCTGAAGCATTAATTTTCAGATAATCTAAATCTGTGTTCCAGGACCACGGCCACTCATTTGGCTCCAGGATAAACTATTTCTTTCCCACCTTGTGGCCAGGGCTGTGTTTCTTGCGCTGACACCTTAAGTTGAACCTCCCCCCCCTTGTTCCACTGTTAGCACCGAATGCCCCCCCTTCCAGTTAGCACCGTCCCCCTTCTGAGTGCAGTACGACCTTATCTTGTCCCCCAGCCTCCACTTAATCACATGATCACTGTGGTTCCTTTCACGGTCGGCTCTCTGCATTGTTTAACATACTTGTATCTAATATTTCCATGGCTGTGGAGACTGACTGGCTAACCTCCCAGCTCTCAGCAAGTATCCCTCCATAAAAGCCTGCCCTGGCAGGCTTTTGTCAGCCTGATGTGACTGTAGTCATCTGGTGAGTGGAGCCTCAGTTAGGAAAGAGCCCCACAAGACTGGCCAGTCGGTAAGACATAGCGCATTTTCTTAATGATAGATGTGAGAGGGTCCATCTCACCAAGGGCGGTGCCAGCCCATGTTGTGGTCCTGTGTTGATTAAGAAAGCAGAGAGCAAGTCTTGGGGAGCAAGCCAGCAAGCAACACTCCTCCCATGGCCTCTGCTTCAGTTCCTGCCTGGATTCCTGCCCTGGCTTCCCTTAGTGATGGAAAGTAGACTGGAGGATGAGATAACACTTTCCTCCCAAGTTACTTGAATCATGATGTTTTATTAAGTAATAGAAACCCTAACACATACACACACACACACACACTACACACACATACACATCATCCATATACACACATACACAGCACACACACACACATACCACACACATATATATCACACACACCACACACATGTACACATCACACACCACACACACACATTTCTCACACACCACACACACACCACATATACACACACTTTTGACTGGCTAAAAGAGGCTGATCCAGGAAGGAGAGGGTACGTGGATGAAGGCAAGAATGCAAAATGGTGCTCCGTGTGTTAGAACTGCAGGGCACATTTCAGCTTGATGTGCTTGACTCTTTATGACTCCATAAAGCCCTGGAAACGGGACGGTCTGGAGTACGTCCTATGACCGCAATCACCGGGGGCTTCCTGGAGGCAGAGTGTGCTGATTCCTGCTCCTTGCTAGGGAGAACTCAAGGCAGAAGATAACACAGCATATGGACCCATGGTCTGAGAAACCGAAGTCCCTGTTCATGGGTTGGGAAGTTAGAGAATAGTTCAGAAAGCCACGCATTCTGTTATACACTAGAAAGCACACCTTCAGTTGAACTGGCTGGGTAAAACGTTAGTGGGCGTGGAGAACAGTAATGTTGCAGGTTCAGAGAAAAATGATGTGGGGGTTTGTTGGCCCCTAAGCCGGGACTCATTACCCACAGTCCTGTCAGAGTGTACAAGCAGATAGACCCTTCTTTGCTCTGTTCCTGTAAAGACTTCATTAAATTGTTGCTACACTGAAACATGGTATTTGGAGCCACTTGAATCTGTGTTCCTGGGCCATGGTCACTCACACTTTACACCAGAATAAGTGCTGGTGTTTCTTTTGGAATGAGAGCTGTTTTGTGTAGAGACGGCTAGCAGAACTCTCCCAATGTGATCCACAGCTTCTCCCCTGGTGAGCCTGGTGGTAAGAAACTGGCTGACATCTCATGGAGACTCTTAAACAATGCTTGGCTTGCTTCCAAAGCCCAAGGCAGTTCAGAGGGTAGAGGGAGTCTAATCTAGTTTTCCCACAGTATAGTGAGCCCTAGTAAAAACAAGGCCAGTGCCTGAGATTACTACAGCCCCTGCTGATCTAGAGCACAGAATTCCACCTTTGTGTTGGAGAGCTGCACCACCGGCAAGCCCTGAGGGCAGGTCCAGACAAGGGACTCTGGGATAAGAGCCGGAACCTCTGCTTGAATCTTCGGCAGTCTGGGAATTTCTCTGGCTCCCATAGACAGACTCGTTAACATCAAACCCCATGGTGGCATCAGCACACTGGCAGCTGCTTGGCTCTCCTCAGGCTTTGTCAGTCACCTAGGATGGGCACACTGACTGTTCACTCTGCATGCCTGCGTACCTACATAACAAGACAGATGGATCCTGGGAGCTCAGTGGTCAGACAGTGCAGTCAACAAGCTCCAAGTTCAGGGAGAGATCCTGCCTCAAAATATAAGTTACAGGGGCTGGAGAAGTGGCTCATCAGTTAAAAGCATTTTCTCCTTCTCCAGAGAACCCAAAGTCAGTTCCCAGCACCCATAACAGGCTCACAGCCATGTGTTACTCCAGTTCAAGGCAATCCAGTTCTTCTGGCTTCCTGCACTCACATGCGCACACACACACATAATTTAAAAACAATAAAAATAAATCTTGGACATGGGAAGGCAGCTCAGAGGTTAAGAACACTGACTGCTCTTACAGAGAACTCGGGTTCTGTTCCCAGAACCCATATGCTGGCTCACAACCATCTGAAATTCCAGTTCCAGAAGATGCCATGCTTTTTCTTTTTCTTTTCTTTTTTTTTTCTTTTGGCTTCCACCAGCACCAGGAATGTATGTGGTAGACACACATATAAGCAGACAAGCATGCATATACATGAATAAAAATATAGTAATATTTAAATATGAAAGTCAATGTGGCAAATTTAAAACTAAGGTGAAGATCCAGCAGAGGAAGCTATCAATGTCAACCATGTACCCCACACACACAAAATAAAAAATCGTAAGATACCGATGTCAACCATGTACCCACGCACACACAAAATAAAAAATTGTAGGGGCTGGAGAGATGGCTCAGTGGTTAAGAGCATTGCCTGCTCTTCCAAAGGTCCTGAGTTCAATTCCCAGCAACCACATGGTGGCTCACAACCATCTGTAATGAGGTCTGGTGCCCTCTTCTGGCCTGCAGACATACACACAGACAGAATATTGTATACATAATAAATAAATAAATATTAAAAAAATAAAAAATAAAAAATTGTAAGAATCCAATGTCAACCATGTACCCCACACACACAAAATAAAAAAATTGTAAAATACCAATGCCAACCATGTAACACACAAAAAATAAATAAATAAAAAATTTGTAAGATACCGATGTCAACCATGTACACCAGCAGAGGAAGATACAATGTAAACCATGTACACCAGCAGAGGAAGATTCAATGTAAACCTTGTACACCAGCAGAGGAAGATACAATGTCAACCATGTACACCAGCAGAGGAAGATACAATGTCAACCATGTACACCCCCCAACACACACACAAAATAAAAAATTTGTAAGATACCAATGCCACCATGGACCCCCTCATACACGCAAAATAAATTTTAAAAATCGTTTAAGATGAAGGAGACGTGTACATTTAGTCGAAGAGCTAGAAAACAAACGGATGTGTGGGTGAACAAGAGTGTGAGCGGTCTGCAGGGGTGGGCTCAAGGCAAGCATGGAGACAGCATGTCGGGTCTGAGAGCCGACACGGAACCTATGGCCACAGTCTTTCTGATCAGCCCCTTCTCCTCTTGCCTGGCCAGGCTCTGCTATGTCATGTGTTAAGCTGGAATACTGTCTTCTCCCGGGTGCCAGCTAACTAGGAGCTATTTACCACACATTTCACAGCACAGAGCAAGGTCCAAGGGTGGCGGACCTTGGCCTTCCTGACTTCTGAAGCCCACATAAAGCAATTCCAGCGCCGGAGAGCTGACAAGTGTTGCGCTGACGAGACTGAGTGCAGAACTCAGCTGGAGTCTGGCCATGATGCTGTGCAGTCCGCTTCTTGGAGCCCTGTTCACCATCGTTGTGGGCTGCCTGTGTCTGCTCAAGCTGCTCAGGCACCGCGGGCCCCGGGAGCCACCTCTGGACAAAGGTCTCGTGCCCTGGCTGGGCCACGCCATAGCTTTCCGGAAGAATATGTATGAATTCTTGAAGAGAATGCGGGCCAAGCACGGAGATGTGTTCACGGTACAGCTCGGAGGCCAGTACATCACCTTTGTCATGGACCCCCTGTCCTTTGGCCCCATCATTAAGGACACACAGAGAGCACTAGACTTCAGAGAGTTTGCACAGGAACTGGTGTTGAAGGTGTTTGGGTACCGGCCCATGGATGGGGACCACCGGATGATACACTCAGCCAGTACTAAGCATCTGATGGGACAAGGCTTGGAGGACCTCAACAAGGCCATGCTGGACTATCTGTCCTTGGTGATGCTAGGGCCCAAAGGCCTGAGTCTGGATGCCAGCTCCTGGCACGAAGATGGCCTTTTTCGCTTCTGCTATAGCATCCTGTTCAAGGCTGGCTTCCTGAGCTTGTTTGGCTGCACAAAGGACAAGGCGCAGGATCTGCTTGAGTCTGAGGAGCTGTTCACCAAGTTCCGCAGGTTTGACTTGCTTTTCCCCAGGTTTGTCTACTCCCTGCTGGGGCCCCGGGAGTGGGTAGAAGTGGGCCAACTCCAGCGTCTTTTCCACAAGAGACTCTCTGTGGAACAAAACCTGGAGAAAGACGGAATAAGTAACTGGTTAGGCTGCATGCTTCAGTTTTTGAGGGAGCAGGGAATAGATTCATCCATGCAGGACAAATTCAACTTCATGATGCTCTGGGCCTCCCAGGGGAACACGGGGCCAACCTGTTTCTGGGCCCTCATGTTCTTGTTGAAGCATCAGGACGCCATGAAGGCCGTACAAGAGGAAGCCACCCAGGTCCTGGGTGAGGGCAGGTTGGAAGGCAGAAAGTCCTTTGCCTTTACACTGAGTTCCCTGAATCACACGCCAGTGCTAGACAGTGTGATGCAGGAGACCCTGCGGCTGGGCGCTTCCCCCACTCTCCTTAGGATGGTGCAGAAGGATTGTGTCCTAAAGATGGACAGTGGGCAAGAGTACCAGATCCGCCGTGGAGATAAGGTGGCTCTCTTCCCCTACCTCTCTGTGCACATGGACCCCGACATCCACCCCGAGCCCACAGTCTTCAAGTACAATCGCTTCCTCAACCCTGATGGCACCCGGAAAGTGGACTTCTACAAGTCAGGCAAGAAGATCCACCATTACAACATGCCGTGGGGCTCAGGCGTCTCCATCTGCCCTGGCAGGTTCTTTGCCCTCAGCGAGATGAAGATCTTTGTCCTACTAATGGTTATGTACTTTGACTTTGAGCTGGTGGACCCCGACGAGCCTGTGCCCCCTCTACACCCGAGGCGCTGGGGCTTCGGCACCTCACAGCCCAGCTATGAGGTGCGATTCCGCTACCGCCTGAAACCCATGCACGCAGTGAGTTCATGAGCCTGACCACACCCTGTAGTCCAGAGTGGCGCCAAACAGCCCTCCTCCTGGCTCTGTGGCACCCCTGCCACTCCCTGGGATCCTTGCTGTCTTGCCTCCTAGACGTCTCATAGGTTGTCACGCTCCGTGAAAGATGCTGTCTCCCCGGAGGATTTCGCCAGACCCTACTCTCAGGAGGAGCACCCACGAACACCTCAATTTCAACCTGCAGCGGGTGTCTCATCCTGGCGGACAAACTGAGCTTGCGTGAGTCAAGCAGCGTCTGGAGAATGCTGCCTCAAACCCGCCTGCCCGCTCCATTCAGTGCCCGTACTCTGCACCCTGGAGGTGTTTTCGATGGCGTCGAGCCATGTGTGTGATTATTCCTAATAAACCGGCTAAGAGAAAGCAAAGGGTTGAAGTCGAGGCTTGTTTTCTGGTCAGTATCTCTTAGCCCAGGGTTTACAAAGAACTAGAACTTAAACAATTTCGAAGACACTCACCGGCTGCTTTGCGTTAGTGGGGTCATGTCAGCAAACTCGTGGGTGCTTTTTAAAGTGGCCTAGCCACAGTTTAAGGGCTCTGGAGCTAGGCGTAGAGAATGGCCACATCTGATACATGAGCCCCTCGAGGTTCCATGCCACTTCCTCTTCTCTGCATCATCTCCTTGTGGCTCCCAGAACACCGCTGAGCTGGCTTTCTCCACCTCATGTCCTCTGTCTCCCTGTCAGATCCCACAACCCCTCGGATATGCTCAGGCTGTGTGGAACTCGCCGTTCATCGCAGGCTCTGGTGACGGGCTTCCTTCCCTACTCCCCTGCCTCTCTGCTCAGAGCTGCCCTTCACCCATTACCCAGAGCAAACACCTGGCCTCCTCCCTCTCAGGCATCAGGCCCAGTTCTGTCTGCTCAAGCCATGTAGTGCCTCAAAAACCTCACGTTCCACCCACCTCTGCTGCTGTTCCTAGGCCTGTAGCCTCTGCCTGTTTCCACATCAGGCCTGACCCCCGCCCCCTTGGTTCACAGAGCTATCCAAAACTCTTTTCAAAGAGCATCTCTAGCTGCCACCGTTCATCTCCCTGGCTCTCTGTTATCTCCATGCTCCTGTCATCTGGGTTGCTTCATTTCTACCAGATTTCTGCAGTGGGGCCATCCCTAAGGCAAAGGCGTAGCGTTGACTGCAAACCCAGTACCAGCTACTCCTGGAAGCCTTCCTCCACCTCCATCTTCCCATCCCAGTCACGGCTTTGTGCCCCTTGGGCTTCCCTATATTGCTTATCCATCCCAGTATACCTAGGCTAGACCATTGCTGTCACTGTCTTGGTTTCCTCTTCCTGCTCCTGGTCCAGATTCAAGCCCATCAGGGATCTGTCCTCGGAGGTCCTGAGGGGGGAAGCTGGTGAGAGGTGTGGGGGTGAAGAAAGGGACACAGCACTGCTAGACGGGGCCAGTGTGACTAGCTGCCCCCTTGGGTCTCCTCTGACGGGATTGTCTTCGCTAGTCCTCACGGAGGGGACCCAGGATCCCCAGAACCAAGGACTGAGCTCATCAGAGTCTGGTGACTTGTCCCTTTGTCTCCGCCTGCCACTTCTCTAAGCACGCATCATGTCGTAGAGACTCCATTTCCAGCCTGGGAAAATTTACTCCGCAGTCAAACATTTTCTGTCCTTGCATGACCTTAGCATCCTGGTGCATGACATACAGGTGCCCTTAGGGCCAGACTTGCTCAGTGTTGCCAGCAGAGCTGTGCTGGCTGGGATTAGGACAGGCTGGGGACAACTGTAGCTAGACAGAGGATCCTGGAAAAGGTGGATCCAGCCTCGCCACCACAGGGCCCACGCAGAGAGGCTTTCCTAACACTGCTCCGCAGCCTTTCAGCCTGCCTACTCTGCCCTGAGCATTGCTGTGACAGCAGGCAGAGGCTCGAGCTGGGACAAGATGTCTCCACTAGCTGTGCAAGCCTGGACCGAGACCTGCCTTTCTTGAATGATGAAGTCAGTCCGAGAGCACCTACCTGTCCACTTCCACAAGGCAAGGAACAGAGGGAGAGGAGATGGACAGGGACATGAGAGGAGGACTGGGGTGGAAAACCAAGAGTCATAACGGTGAGCTTACCAATGGCTCCCATCCAGCCAGCCCGTGTTCAGTTCAGTGGGCAGGAGAAGGTCCTCATTACCAGGTTTTCTCCCTTTTCACATATTCGGGGGACGCAGGAGCCTGGCCTGCGTGTCCCTGAGTCAGGGCCAGAAGCTCTCAGTTGCAAGTGGCCTGGGCAGCTCTGCAGAAAACTCTCCTCCTGCAGAGAGTGGCCTTTGAGAGCCCAGAAAATTATGTGAAGGACCAAGACAATCAGTGGCCAGGTCTGAGGTGATCAGAGGCGCTCTGTCCCACATGTGGGGTCTCCCAGAAATCTTGGCTATGCAGGAGAATCCAGTGCCTGCATGGGTAGCCCTGGGGCTCCTGTGGTTCTGGATCCCCTCCGTGAGGACTGATGGGAACAGTCCTGTCAGAGGAGACCCAAGGGTACACCTAGTCACGCTGGCCCAGCCCCACAGTGTGTCCCTTCCTTCCCCTCAGGGCCTCCAAGGGAAGAGCAGCAAATGGATTCTCTCTGGAGACGGCTTACAATAGAATATGACCAGAGAGGCCTTTCCTGCTGTCTGTGGAGGGACACACAAGGGACCCAGCACTCAGGAGTCTGAGGCAGGAGGATTCATGTTCAGAGACAACCTAGACTTTCCAGTAAGAGCTTGTCACCCCAAAAATTCACAAAGCCAAGACAACATAAAGTAAAAACAACTTTCCTATGGTGGGTTTTGGGCACCTGGGAGGGAAAAGACTTTCCCCCACGTAGTTACTGTTGTGAACACTCCAGTCTCATGGCACAGCGCCAAGGGACCAGAGCTAGCTGCAGGCTGTCACTCCCGCCCTCTCCTTGAGCCAGCACACAGCAGAGTTCTCCTCGCCTCTAAGCCTGGTGGTCAGGTGCATACAGAGGCACCCCTGAGACTGTTGGCTAAGGCTGGGTGGGGCCACAGGGAGCCAGGCATGGCAGGCCTGGTACAGACAGAACAGGGGGCAGAGCCATGTTCAGGCTTGGAAGTAGGTAGGGGTGAGAGGAGAGGCTCTGCGTTGGAAGGAGGTAGGGGTGAGAGGAGAGGCTCTGCGTTGGAAGGAGGTAGGGGTGAGAGGAGAGGCTCTGCGTTGGAAGGAGGTAGGGGTGAGAGGAGAGGCTCTGCGTAGGCCTGGGCTGTACGGACCGGTGAGCTGCTGCACAGGGTCCCGATAACCATAAGCAGGAGTGTCCACGGCCAGCGCTCCGCTCTGTCAGGGCTCTGCTGACTATCGGTCTCTTTCCCAGGAAGTACACACCCACCCGTACACAGACAACGAGTGCACACCCACTTGTTCACAGGCAATCAGTGCACACTCACTCATACACAACCAGTGCACACCCACGCGTACACAATCAGTACAAACCCACGGTTACACAATCAGTGCATATCCACACATACAAACAATCAGTGCATAACCACATATACACAGAGAATCAGCGCACACCCACACGTACAATCAGTGCCCACCCATGAGTACAATAAGCACACACACACACACAGAGACAATTAGGAGCAGTTAGAAAGCCTGTGGACACATACCAGATACACATCCATAGTAGATCCACAGCCACAGCTGTATGTATTGTATGTGGCCCACACAGCACACTGTCAGGGGCAGACATGTGTACATAGATGTCCTAGACAGATACACACATGTCACCAAGGCTGGTAACAAGGCTCCTGAACTCCCTCACCTGGCATACTGTGTCCCATCCCATTTGCACATCTGGGGCACAAAGCCAGGGACTTGGGAGACCTTGGTCCTGTCGCCATAACTTGGGTTGCATCTCATCAGTCTTCCTGACACACGTGGTCTCGGGAACTCTAATACCCTTCCTCCATGTCCTCAGACAAATCAACCACAGATAAAATACTGAGGGAGCCTGGAGTCCCCTCTGGACATAAAGAATCTGGGGCCTCGGACAGACAGACCTGACGACATCAGAGTTGAGAGAGGTGGGTATGGGGAACACATAGAACAACAAAAAAAACCCACTAAAGGTAAGTCAGGCACATGGAGGAACAACTGGGCATGCACATGTGTGTGCATGTGTATGTGACTGTATGTACAAATGCATAGGTGTGTGTACATGTGTGTGCATGTGTATGTGACTGTATGTTCGAATGCATAGGCGTGTGTACATGTGTGTGCATGTGCATGTGACTGTATGTTCAAATGAGTAGGTGTGTGTACATGTGTGTGCATGTGTATGTGACTGTATGTACAAATGCATAGGTGTGTGTACGTGTGTGCATGTGTATGTGACTGTATGTTCGAATGCATAGGCATGTGTACATGTGTGTGCATGTGTATGTGACTGTATGTTCGAATGCATAGGTGTGTGTACATGTGTGTGCATGTGTATGTGACTGTATGTACGAATGCATAGGTGTGTGTACGTGTGTGCATGTGTATGTGACTGTATGTTCGAATGCATAGGTGTGTGTGCATGTGTATGTGACTGTATGTTCGAATGCATAGGTGTGTGTACATGTGTGTGCATGTGAGTGTTGCAGGGAGCACACGGCTACGGAGTGTGCAGAGAACAGAACTAGGTGGGACGTTGTCTTCCTGTTCAGTTCTCCATTCACCAGTCATTCGTTCAAAAAAAATCAAAAATAAGAGGAAAGAGGGAAGGAGGTAGGGAAGAGGAGAAGTGATGTAGGAGGGTCTTCATTGGTTAATTAATAAAGAAAACTGTTTGGCTTGATAGGTCAGAACATAGGTAGGCGGGGAAGACAGAACAGAATTGTGGGAGAGAGAAAGCAGAGTCAGGCAACCGCCATGATTCTCCGACCTGAGACGGACCCAGGTTAGGATCTTTCCCGGTAAGCCTCTACCTCGTGATGCTACACAGATTACTAAATATGGGTTAAAGCAAGATGTGAGAATTAGCCAATAAGAGGCCAGAACTAATGGGCCAGGCAGTATTTAAATGAATACAGTTTCCGTGTAATTATTTCAGGTGTAAACTAGCCAGGGAGCCAGGATCCTGGCCTGCTCACCTCTTCAGTACAGAGAAGGAAGGAAGGGAGGGAGGGAGGGAGGGAGGGAGGGAGGGAGGGAGGGAGGGAAAGAAAATGAAGGGGGGGCGTGGGGAGTAGAGATCCCCTTCCGGCTATTTTCAGTTTGACAGGACATAGAATCTAACTTGTGGTGGGCATGTGTGGAGTTCGTAGACTGGCTGAGCAGGAAGGTGAGGTAAGAAGGCTGCCCTGACTGCGGGTGGCACCATCCTGTGGCCAGGGTAGCAATGAACAAAAGGGAGAAACCGAGCTGAGCACAGTGTCCATCTC